ACAATGTGTCCTTGGAGGGAGAATATTTTCATTTACAAAATTTTTAACAGAAAAAAACATGGAATTTCTATAATTCAAAATTTCAAGGGTAATAAGTTGTTTTTCTGAGAGAAAAATAAAGTTTGCACTTTTGTTATTTATCTGTGAAGTTTCAGTCAATAAGAAGTCACGAGGCAATTTAAACTGGAATCACTGTATACAAAGTGCTAATCGAAAATCTACTTGATTTGGATCACTAGCTATATTTGTTTGGATCATTTGAAGTTTCTGTCTGCACATTTAGACAAAAAATGTGCTTTTATATACGTTTTCTTATGTAAAATTAGGTTTTCAATTACTAATAATAAAACTACTTCAAACAGTATGTGACTTCTTGGTATATTTAAAGATTATCATATTTATGTTTCATCTACCCCTCCATAAACATCTGTAGCAAGCGTTTTTCACGCATCTAATGGTCATTTTTCGACTAATCATCCACTGGAATGGACTGTTGACATTATTTCAATAAAACATTTATTGTAATGTTTAATATGAATCTTTATCAAAAGTAAGCTATCAAATTCGACCACAAGGTCTTCTTTATAACTTGACAATTACATCAAATATGCACCTACCCAACTTTTCAAGAGCTATTTTTGGTTTGCGTAGAAAATATCCAGAAAGCTATCTTTGTGGTCATGACAGCTATACTTTTTTCGAGTATACATATAGCATTTAGGCCTAGTGCAATTAGTAAAAAAAATTATTGACGTTACTTTGTGTTTGCAACAGTACTGTACAATATTTTCTTCCCCGGACTCCTCTTACATTTCAACAATGGCCCAGTCCGTAGGAGGTCCATATGTCATATGCTCACCTTAAGCGTTTTATGCTCAATCGGTGAGTGTGATACATATGTATTTATATAAATTATAGAAAAAGTAGTGTAGCCTCATGGTTAGTTACTTAGGTACGAAGGAGAGTACAAACACACAGACACCTGACGTTACTTATTTTTCTTTTAATAAAATAAATTATACCTCTCTCAAATAACATTTTGAACCTTTCTTGACAGTATCTTTTTTTAATTTCTAATGGAAGCAACTGTAATGACGTTTTTATTTCGTTAATTTATATATAGCACGCCAAATTCACAAAAATGAGATAATCATAGTTTACGAACTGTAAACTATAGTTAACAACGTTAATCTATATATCACATCTGTTAACCATAGTTAACGCGATAATCTATGTTTCACAACCATAAACTATACTTAACACCGAAAACAATCATTTGCGATTGCAAAACATAGATCTTCTGATAAATACAGTTTCACGATTTGTAAACTATAGTTTACAAACCGTTAACTATAGTTAACGATCTGATAAATATAGTTTCACGATTTGTGAAACTATGATTAACAACTCTTAACTATTGTTAACGATCGTAAATTATAGTTTACAGACGTGAATCTATGTTTATCAACAAAATCCATTGTTAACGTTTCATAACAGACTATGGCACGCCAAATTCACAAAAATGAGATAAACATACTTTCACAGTCGATAAACTAGGTTTATCGGTTGTAAACTATAGTTTACGGGCTGTAAACTATAGTTAACAACGTTAACGATCTGATAAATATAGTTTCACGATTTGTGAAACTATGATTAAACAATTCTTAACTATAGTTTACGATTGTAAACTAGTTTACAAACGTAAATCTATGTTTATCAACAAAATCTATTGTTAATGCTTATTACAGACAGATAAACTTAGATTATCATTCGTAAACTATAGTTAACAACCGTTAAATATAGTTTTACAGATGAAAACTATACTTAACGAATCGTTAACTATAGTTTACGGTTTGTAAACTATAGTTTGCAGTCGATATCTAGTTTATCAATTGTAAAACTTTGATTATCTCATTTTTGTGAATTTGGCGTGCCATATCTATATGTTTAGTTCCATTTTTTCATTCCGGAATAAAGGATTGTTCAAGCATAAATTTCTTCGGGAAACGGGAGGGGGTAGTATTGCTGTCCATAACACTAAAAGATCCCAACACAAAAATCCTATTTTATGGTTGGGGATGCGGTCGGCTTAATTGGTGGACAAGCTACATTCTTCCATATATATTCTCATTTTTCCTATCAACTTATGACAGTCATTCATCAACAAAAACATACCAAATTAAGAATTTTCATGTCGCTCACCAATTTACATGTTCTATTGTAAAATTTTAAACAATTTTAAAGATCGATTTCAACTCTTAGACTTTACATATACACATGGTTTTGTAAATATTTAGTGGTATATGCATTCAAAATTTTGATTTGATTATAATGATTAAAACGCACTCAACTTCAAATCTTAATGCCGCTTCGTTCATTTACTAATTTCAATTCAGCCAAATAAGCGTTAAACGAGATTGCATGGAATATTAAAAAATGTTCATGTAATAAAAAGAAAACAAACGGTTACCACATTTCTCAAAGAAATGCATGGATCTTTTTTATAGAAACCATAACATATCCCTGAAAATCAATTAACTTCTTTTATCGTAGACTGACTGTTAAGAGTTTGTGTTTCTTGGGAAGGGGGGGGGGGGGCAAAGTTATTTTGATATGGTTACTTTAATATTCTTTGATTTTAGTGAATTTGAAAAAAATTATCAGGTCTTGATCCCCTGACCTATAGCTGCTTTTCTGGATCTGTCTATGGGGATATAATGCCAAATTTTAATTAAACTTTATATCTTCATAGATTCTGTTGCAGATTCTTAGTTTAAAGTTCTGATGTCTTATGATAGTGTGAAAGTACGTGAAATATTACAAAACCTGCATTATAATCTCTTTATCATAGATTTATAAAAGAGAGAAAAAAGTGTACAAGGCGAGGATAATCGCCCGCTCTATGACGGAAAAGTTTTATTTTTCTAAAATTATGTTGTCGGTAATGTCATCTTCAACATATTAGATTCATATATTGTTCTGAAAGACATATTGATTGAAAATTGTTTTTAGACTTATTTAGTCGAAAATGGGTACGTTTATATTTAATGATTCTAGCTATAGAAATTTATTTTTGAATATGAACGGATCAGGTTTCTATTCGAAGTCTTGTGTTTAAATTACGGAAAGTAAATGCATTGTGTGTTTTTTAATGGCGTCTGAACCCATTCTATCTAAAAATCGAATATTTCTGAAATGAAAAGAAATTGAGGATAATGAGCATTGATTTATGTCGAAAAATATACAAACAATACAAACATGTGAGCAGGGCATAAATACGCCCCCCCCCCCCCCCGGGAACACCAGAGATGGGATCAGGTGCCTAGGAGGAGTAAACATTCCTTGTTGATCAGTCACATCCGCTGTGAGCTCTATGTATTGATCAAGTAAACAGAGCATTTCATAATCAAATTTAGTATAAAAACAAAGGTAAAACAGTTGGATAACAGAAGTAAGCCCCAAAAAACCGACCCAAGATAAATTAAATGATAGGTTGAAAAACATTATTTGTCTCAACAAATTCGTTTCTTTAAAGCAAACTGACACACAAACATCAAGAAGACAACGTAGCGTATCGTGGTTAACGCATTCAGTCTTACGCCTATCATGAGCTTTGGAAAAAGTTTGAATAGTTTGTGAAGCCTTTTTTCCGTTTTACATACCTTTAAAGCATAAGTGAAAATATATTACGTGTATTTATCATTAAGTTATTTAATGACATAAACTTGAGACAGTGTCTTTGGATTATACTCCCCCCATATACGCCTTCATTCTTCAAGAAGTATTCTACTCAAATCAAACATAGCATTTCTGTATCAATCACGACAAAACGCAAATCAAGTATCGCACAAACACCAGCAATGATAGCACATTTCATCAAATTCTATAATTATTTATTTCTGTTTAACTTCTATCTGCTGATAAATGTTTCTCTTGTGATAATAAACGCCAATATTTTTTCAAAACTGTTTAAATCGCGATAATTTTATCAAAAAATAATAAATCTTAATTTCATGCAAATCACAAAAAGGATCCGAAAAAAGTATAGCCATTGCAAAAATATGTTGCAAACATAGTGTAGCATTCACTCATAACAAGAATAGCTAAATTTCTCTAAAAAGCGTAATTTATAGAAATCAGATGATGTTTCGTGGGTGAATTGAGGTGAAAACTTAGATACAATAACTTTTACAACAGAATATAGTTTTAAAAAAATTAGAACAATTGAAATAATTCAAAATGAGCAAAAATCCCATTTTAACTTAGTAAATGAGAACGGTATCGAATTTCTAACATATTTCAACCTAAAAAAATTCTCAAATAAATTTACTTTGTTTCTATAAAGGTTTAATTAGTTTCCTAATTTCTTAAAGTTACTTTTACCCATATTTTGTCCGCAGAATTTTCCTTTTTACCCATAATGCATCAGAGTACCCAAAGCAATATAGCTAGTGATCCAAATCAAGTACATTTTCGATTAGCACTTTGTATACAGTGGGAATACTAATAATAAAAAAACTAAAGTAAATTCTATGAGCATTAAATTGACCTGCATATTTCTTTGGCCTGTACACTACAATTGACCTGAACACTACTGTTGACCTGTATTCTACTGTTGACCTGTACACTACAATTGACCTGTACACTACTGTTGACCTGTACACTTCTGTTGGCCTGTACATTACAATTGACCTGTACACTACTGTTGACCTGTATAATACTGTTGACCTGTACACTTCTGTTGACATGTACATTACAATTGACCTGTACACTACCGTTGACCTGTACACTACAGTTGACCTGTATTCTACAGCTGACCTGTACACTATTGTTGACCTGTACACTATTGTTAAACTGTACACTTCTGTTGACCTGTACACTACTGTTGACCTGTATTCCACTATTGACCTGTACCCTATCGTTGACCTGTATTACTGTTGACATGTAAAACGTTATTGACCTGTACACTACTGTTGAACTACTACTATTAATGTTTATTGTTATTTATTATTTACCTGTTAGCCTCATAGTTATTTTCCACATTATTGAGAGACTTGAGTACAATGGCAGCTGGTTCACAACTTTTGGACAGTTTTTGGAGTAGAGCAGTAGTAGAGCTCAGTTTGAACAGTCCCAATGCTCGCTTTCTCAAGCCATGAAGGAGGCAAGCCTCCACAGCTCCTAAAACAAAGGCAGAGAATTCTAACACAGCAATCCATACAGAATCATCTAAATCATCTATATCTCGATTTCAAATTTAATTATCCTATTGTCTCTATTAAAGTTCTTCAGAATATATGTAGCAATCATGGTCGTAAAACATGTATTTGAGACATGTAAATTACATGTATCTTCAAAGAATAGGTGATAAATTATGAAGGTCTATTGTAATACACGTATACTGTGAACAAACTTTTATCTGCAAGCCAAAAAATATCTGCGACTTTTGCAATATTCTGTTACTTCAGAATATTTCTTGTGAACCAATTATTCATCTATGTATTTAATTCAGAATTCTGCCTTTTTAACAAAAATTAACTGTGACAGATGAATTTCAAACTGGAGATTCGCAAATAAAAGATGTCATGAATAAAACTGATTTACAGTGCTCAACATGCTCAAGAGTACCACATTTATGGCCATATTTATAAATGTACTTATCACAAACTTCAAAGCACTGAGTGATCAGACAAATATGTATGAATAAGACATTTTCATAAATGCCAAACCATCTCAAATTGTGACAGAAACTTTGAAATAAAAAGTCAAAGTCTGTCTTTTATAGAAGGCTATTGCTTTATATGGCTGAAGATGGACATAATTACCAAGTAATTTATTGTAAAGGGAAGGGTAAATAGCTTCACAAGACTGGAGTCTTGGAAAGCAAAAAATAAGACTTGAATAGAAAAGTGCAAACAATTTTATGGGCAATCTCTACACTCTTGAATATACTCAGTAAAACCTATGTAAAATGAGGTGCCAGAGACAGGTGAATTTGCTTCATTATGAGCAAAATGAAGTTATACCAGTATCCATTAAGTTCACAATATATTTCAAAGACACAGGAAATGAAAATTACTTTGCTGTAAGTGTCAATTCATTAATAACTATTTAATATGTTATAACCGTGTTTTACTGTAGTGGAATTTAAACAACTTTCCCTATTGTGATGTCAGAAAATGTAACCAAAAAGGCATAATAACTTGTCAAAAAGTGTGGACAATGAAACCTAACACAAAGATATTTCATTACCGGTATATATCAGTATAAAGAAGGGAAATTGATCTGTTACAAAATTTGGGTGGGGGTAGAGAGTGGACTTGCCACAAATTAAATTAAAGTAAGCATGCAAAGAAGAGAAGTGAACCAAACTCATGACAAAGGGAAATAATACAAGCTTATCATAAAGAGAGGTAAAACAAACTAACAAATAGTACAAAGGGAAATAAAGCAAAATGATAACAATTAAGTTACTGCAGTTCAAGTTTAATATAAGGAGAGTAAAATGAATTTACTAAAGTAGTGTAAAAATAAACTTACCATAAAGATGGGTAAAACCATTTACCAGAAAGAAGAAAATTAAATTTGCCACATTGGGAAGTAAAAATCTCATTGCAAAGGGAGATAATACAAGCTTCTGAAAAATTATCTCAAAAGGAATGTAATACAAGCCTACTTTTACAAGAGGGAGGGGTTACACAAACCAAATACAATGGCAGAACTATACCATAAGGGTAAACCATGAATATACCATGCAGGAAGTGAAACAATTTCAACAAATGAATCAAAATGGAAGATGAAACAAACTAAACCATGAAAAAGATATGACAAAATAACAACAGAGGGAAAAAGAAGTGTAAAATAGACTTACCACAAAGGGAGGTAATGCTGCTACTTTCCTCATGGACAAACTTCCTTGTGACGGCTTCCTCCATTATCTGCTTCACCTAAATACACAAAATAATTAAGAAATAAATAACAAGTTTATAAACTTCAATGGGAATTGAAAAAGAAGTGTGATCAAATCCTGTGAAGGCCGAAAGATTTGATCACGTACCGACCACTTCAATTCCCATTGAAGTTTATAAACTTGTTATTTATTACTTATATATACATTTGAGACAGACAACTAAATATTTTCGAATTTAAATTATTGCACTAACCGTCCGTCGTAGATTTTGAAAAATGACGCAAGGTGTAAATCGGCTTGCATGGCGGTTTCGCTTCGAATTCATTAGGCTAAGGAATCTATTTCGAAGGGAATATTTTGTGAAAGGCTACTTGTTATCAGTAATAGTGAACAGATTGTTGTCTGGGAATATTTTTATTCGTGAAAATTGATAACCGGTGCTGAAAAGACACAAGAAACACGTCCGAAGTTTGATGAGAAAAAGTTGGGGGAATTTCGGTCGCCGAAAGGGATGGATGGATCCGATGGATTGAGACACTTGTGCGAGTCAGTTAATTTGCAATTTGATCAAAAACATTCTACGATTTCAGGCTACCCAAAAAATAAGGATGAACGTTAGAGACTGTACAGCGGACAAAAGTGAAAAAAATGTAAACAATCGCCAGTTTTCTCTATGTACACAGGTTTGAATTGATAGCCAAAAAACTGTATGAAATACTTGTTTACATCGTAAATAAAATAATAATAATTACACTTGCTTATTTTGCTTATTTTTATACATGAAAAGCAAGTAGAGCAGGTCATTTTATAATTTATGTACCGGTAGATATTATTGCGCCGTGTGATTAGGTCACGTATTGACCTCTGACCTCTGACAAACTTCATACAGAATTGAAGATATTTTCTCTCTGTATGTTTATATAATGGAGAGATACCACAAATGTATATATTTAGGATTGAGTGTATATTTATCTTGATTTCAATATACATGGATTTCATATAAAAACTATAAATGCATATTTAATTCCCATGCAACTGTTTTGCAAAATGCAGTTTGATGGGCTTGCAATGAGCTTCCCTGGTAAAACTCAGTTTGCGACCATTAATTCACCATTTATGGTCACAAATACCAAAATATGGGAAGATATTATTCCCTAAAAATCAAAAGCCTGTCCAACTTCAATGGCATCACACATGAAGAACAATTTTTGAAAGTTCTTCTTCAATTTGATGTAAAGTTTTGATTTCTAAGACAATTGTGACACGTCCTTAATTGTGCCATATAAAGTGAAAAGGGTCCCCAGTGAAAATTGTCTAAACGGACACCTGTGTTTTCCAACACACAGTGAATTTCTCATTTTACTGTTTTCCTTTTTTTTTACACTGTGCAATCCGACACCCTGTCTATTCCAACACATATAAGTCTCTGGGTGTAGGTTTCACTGTAGTTTAAATGAGTAGTGATTAAATGGACCAGACATTGCTAAAGTAAACATGTTCATGCTGAATTTTTAGCTCATCTCTTTTCAGTCAGTTAAAATTTACTATGACGGATTTAATGAATTAACATTAACTAAGTGACAGAATGAATTGCGGATAGAATTGATGCATTTTATTTTCAAGTTATTCACTGTCAAAGAAATTTATACACTACTCTTGCATTTTACTTTTGCAGATGTATTCACTGACACCTTAAATTTGGTTGTACATGTATAACTTTCCAGCAAGAAATTTTGATGAAACCACTGACTTAATGACATTCAAACTCATAAAATTATGCACCAAACACCTCATTTCCATGGCTACATGTTTATTGCAATGGTCAACAAACAATTTGAAACAAATATATTGCATTCTATTAATAATATATCACTTCTTTTAAATATCATCTTGTCAGTACATTATTGCCTATATTTCACATCCAAAAGCATAAACATTCTATGCTGTTAGCCAAGACGTGTTCTATCTAAATGCAAATCAGTTGTTTATCCATTTTCAGTGTGAAAAATGAGCTGAGGGGTTTAATGTGAGTAATGGGAACTTCAAGTTATTTATCATTGAATGGAAGTTTTGTCAGTGTCTTAATTAATCCAAAACACAAACTAAAGAATTTCAAGGAATAGATTCCACAAAGTCTGGGCCATTTTTAATTGAAGATATCCTACAATCATGCTTTATACAAGCCATCATATACCAAACCAGAGGTATTGTGAGCACTGAGTGCTCCCTCCCCTATACATGTATAAGTATAAGAGCATTTACCCCTTTTTTGCTTTGAGAAACTCCATATACTTGTCCAATCAAAATATAAAGTAGAAAGTGTACAATGGTGCTTTGTAATATAGATTCTGTGAAAGTATCATTAAATTTCATTCGGTGGTAGAGGAGAACTTGCAGATAAGAGATGGGTACCCCAAGCATAAGGACTGATGGACTGATGTACAGATAGAGTGACAGACAATCCCTCACTGTATACACAATATAAAACAAGCTTATTTTCGATACATGTATTGGGATCCGATGTTTTAGTAGCATCTATATGCATTGTTATGAATTTGACAGACTATGTAGACAGACTGCTGCTCTTGTTTACTGACTTTATTGTTTTACTTTGTAAATATATCAATATTCTATCACTCCCAATGACAGAGAATTCCTCTGAGAAATATTCATGTCAAAACCACAAAGATCTGATAATGATTAGGAAATCATGACAATAAGCTGGGTATTGATGGTAAATTTTGCACATCTAAATTCTCATCTTAACATTGGGCACGTTTCTATAATTACACAACATCCGGACTAGACTAGTTCTATTGTACATTAATCGGAAAACAAGGGCATTGGTCTCGCCTGTGATGTGTGGATGTTGAACCATTACTGTGCAGTATTCCTGTTTTATAATTAATAAAAACTTTTGTGTACCCGGGTACTAACAGTTATAAACTGTCAATAATTGCCTCCTAAATTACTGTTTTCAGCAAGTTAGTCATTCATCTAGCTTATCTTCATGTCAATAATGTTTGTCAAAGAGAAAGAAAAAAGAGAAACAAGGCCGTCAATACCCAACAAATCAATGCCTCTATATGGCCACATAGGCCATGGTTTCCTCTTTCTCAGTTAATACTTTAATATCAGTTTGTATGCGACCCAAACCAAAAAAAGTATTCTTTATCACCACATCAATATAAAGGCAAAAGATTATGGTTTAATCTTGAATGGTGATCCAATATTGGGCACTTTTAACACTTTCATATGAAAAGCAGATAATAGGTTAGTGGGTTGCACTTTATTATATATTTAGCATTTCGGAGAAAGAGAAGAATATATTTTATAGTATAGTAGTTCATTCCATTTTAACAATTAACAGTTGTTTCATTGAGTTGCAATGGAGTTTAAATAGTCTGATCATTATATTTATCTTGATTTGATAAATACCTTCTTATTATAATACATGCTTTATGTATTAATACTCATTTATTAATATTATTAGTACATGGAATTGTATGTGTATACTGTATAAATGTGTAAAAGCCAACAGGAATTTCCTTTATGCAGACATTCAAGTAGTTTCAAAATACTATCTGAAACTCATAAAAGATTAAAATAACAATTGGTGAAAATGAAACAAAAACAGAGTATCATATGGCACTAATTTTGTTTTCTTGAATAAGTTGTCAGTCAATACCACAACTGATCATCTACAAGCAGATCAGAAAAGAGCCCAAAAAAGGAAATAATATCAAGAATTTCCCAGTCCAAGCATCACAATTCTGGTTAGATTGGATCAAATGACATGTTTGCTTTATATAGGTAAAAAATACCACAGCAAAAAGTCTGATCAGAAATTTTTTTTTTGTATTTTTTGAAAATGGGTCAAATGTCATAGAAATCAAAACTGATATTTGTCATCAACAGGAGGAGACCATCGTCGGTAACCCACGGGTGATTCACATCGATTCTCTCCATCACCCGTGGTTTGCGAATGGGAGGAGACATACCAGAAAATATCTTCAGGCTTCAAGTACACAAGTAAACTAATTATGATGAAATGAAAGAAAAGGTTCATACTAAATGCATTTTACAGCCATGGACATAAAAATTGCGCAAATCTTAACATTCAAACAGCAAACCCACAAAACCACAAAAACCAAGTTTAACTTTGTGGTTATTGGTAAAATCAATGCTAGCACCTCATGAGAGAATCAATTTATGGTAGCTTCAGACCAGACTTATCTGCAAATAGTCAGATTTTTCTTCATCAATATCAATTATGAGCACTGCCAGAATTCTCAAGAATTTTTTTTTACATACGTTGGTAGAGTAAGTTTGTGTGGACTCTGTGCTCTATGTGATGTATGGCAATCAATAAGCGTGGGAGGGGGTGACTGTGTTTTATCACTCGCTTTATTGATCTCTCTCTATTAACTCTGGAATACGACTTAGATCAAAATAATTCAAATTGAAAAACAATTCACGTCAAACTTCACATTTAGGAAATTAGAATAATAACACAGACCAGTCTTTGCCCTTATGGTTATGGCCCGTCTAAGACAAGAAGGTGCCATACACAAGTATCAAGACAATCTTGTGTGATTCAGGGCCTTGCTACCACTGTAAAGATCCCCAGTAACAACATTATAGAGAAATAATCATTATCGAACCAACAGTATTAACACAAGAAATCAAAAGTAGTCAGTATGACATAAACACAATTTACTGACACTGATAAGGTAAAAAATGGAGCAGTATCTGAATCTTGATTTATTGGGTCATTTTCCTTGACATTTAAATTCTGTATACACAGAGTTAAATTTATGTAGATTTTGTGCAGAAATATACACAAATGAAAAAAATTGAAATGCATTTGAAAATACAGAGAATGGTAAAAAATATTTTATGTGGTGATTACTATATTAATATTTGGCAGCCACCAGATAAATTTAAGTAAAATATCTAACAGTTGCCACAATAATGTGCTAAATGTAATTATAAAGATACTGTAAGTAATTTAGTAGGATATGACAGCAGAATCTATAGTTAGATCTGTAAGCAGAGTCTATAGTGGGATCTGTAAGCAGAGTCTATAGTTAGCTGCAGATCTGTAGCTCTCCGAAAAAAAAATTGATAGACCGGAGAGCTACAGTGCCACCCATTGAAAAAAACTGTATATTTATTGCGCACAAAAAAGTGCGCTCGGTTCTCGGTTTATTTCTCCATGTTTTTAAACTGTAATCTCAAAATATTACTAACCGTGTGTTCCTAACATATTCTTTGACTCTTTCCACAACAAAACATTCCTCATAATTGTTGTTAATAGTCCTCCTGACCCTGATATTGTAATCATCGAACATTTCGCTTATTTATACTGCCAATTTGGATTCAAAGATAATTCGGTCCAATATGCTTCATTCAGATATCAGCTACGAAAGTACTTGATAGAGAAGAGAGGATTTTTTTGAAATCTTCCATTTTATGCTTTATGTAAGAATTTGGAAGAATTAATCAACAACCGAGCGCACTTTTTTGTGCGCAATAAATATACAGTTTTTTCAATGGGTGGCACTGTAGCTCTCCGGTCTATCAATTTTTTTTTCGGAGAGCTACAGATCTGCAACTAAGTCTATAGTGGGATCTGTAAGCAGAGTCCAAAGTGGGATCTGTAAGAAGACTCTGAAGTAGAGAAATTTGTCAGCAGACTTTGTATGTAGTAAGATATGAAAGCAGAATCTGTTAAAGGATATTTCAAATGAACTGGATATCCATTTTATGTAAAGGAGTAAAATACTTTCAACTAATTTTTGCCTCAGTTGCTTAGTTACAGTGTGGAATTTCTACTATGAAAATTCTGAGCAGCTTGTCAAATATAATAACCATTATTCATTCTCTTACATTTGATACATAATTATCTTTAAATATTTAAATTTGGTATGAATTTCTAATAACCCAACTGTGAAAAATAATTTGAATACCTTTTCATGTATACACAAAGGTAGAAATATACACGGAGCAACTCATGCTAAAGTAATGTCACAATGAGGCTACAGAGATGGTATTAATAAGAATGCAACAATAAAGGGTAGCAAGAAATTCAAATATTGAGTATAGTTTGATGTCTTAAATATTTAACATGTAAGTATAGGAATTTTTAAAAAAAGTTTTGTGTGAATTATTGCACATTAGTGCTCTTCATTAAATATGCTTATGTGACTTAGTCTCTGTGATTTACACACCAATAACTCACACAAAACTTAAAACATTCCTTAAATATCAAATAATTTAAACAACTTTTTCTTCATCTGACTGAATGGTATAACACCAAATTAAGCAAGATAAAAAATTTAAAATAAAGGATATTTTTATATAAACTGCAGTGCTTTTCATTAGTGTCAACTTAATGAAACCTACAATCTCAATCCTATCCCACTAATTGGCAATGAATATAAAATCCATTTTATTAATGAATCAAATCACACATTACTTTTTAATTCTTTAAATTGTTATATGTATATACAGATTTCATGGCAGAAAATAAAACCTTAAACTTGGCACAATGCTCAGCCTGTGTGTTTAAATCATTGTTTTTTTCTTTCAGATCATCGAATAAGGATTGCTTTTAAGGCATATTAACTTAACAAGAAAAGTGAAGATTAGGACAAAAACATTGCAAGATGATGTGTAATGATTTCAAGTCATGTTTCTTATATTGTCTCTAATGGTGACTTATTCCTCTTCGCAAAAATCTCTGCCATCCGACTGATTAATAAAGCGATCAATAGTTTATTGGTAAATAAGTTTCTCATTTCCATCATAATATTGATTTGCAGAGAAATGCTTACCTCTTTTTTCACTGCTCGAAGCAGTTTCTGGCGATTTTCTGCCTCTGAAAATACAAGTTTGAAACATTATAGACAGTGTACAAAGCACATTGTGCAGCAGTTTTTCAGACAATACACATTAAACATTTCTTTGGATTGAAAAGAAAATTAAAGAATCGAAACGGTGCTTACCCGGTGCCGTCATTTTTACCAATATTCCTCTTCATCTGTGGCTTTATCGATTGATTCTGCTCTCAGCGTCATGCGCAAACGATAATCATGTTGACAAAATGAAATTATCGGTGTGGCAGGGGTTTGTCAGCTCTACCATGCTAAATTCGGTTCCAATTTCTTCAATCCTTTTTTAAAATTACAAGACATTCAATCTCACAATATAACATATTTAGTACCAAGTTTATCTTTTTAACCATAAAAATGACCACAAAAAAGTATTTTTGCAGCTTAATTCCATTTCCCATAGAATCCGAATTTGTTACAGAACAAATTACTGCATAAACAATGGGGAGTACGGGACACTTGTCAAATGGGAAATTAAATTTAAATTTATTACGTGATTATTATCGCCGTGAACTGTTAGAACTTTTAGACAAATGCTTGGGGTCAAAGGTATAATGCATGCTCAATTTGCATTATCATTAATCCATTTATTTACAAGAAAAAAGGGAGTTTGTTAAAGTCCGAGTTTGCTCTGTGACATCAGTTTTTCTTCTGTTTTAGGCACTTGTATGGGATGACGCACTCACTGGACCCTTTGGCTTAATAGCCGAGTACTCACTTTTAAAGGTGAACAATTTTTTTTGCAATGCTTCAATAATTTAGTTGGTAATAATGATTTTGAAATCATAAATACTGGGAACTTTTGTATAGCCAAATAATCCAATTTACAAGTTCCAACTAACAGAAAACATGATGTTGTAAATTAGTGGCATATCCACAGAATATTAAATGTACCACTTTTCGAAATATTCATGGAAGCAAGGTTTATTTTGGCGAACTTTTGTTATTATCAAGATGGTAGTGCTGATTGATCGATTGATTGTATGTTGGTTTACGTCCCATTCAAGAATTTTTCACCCATATAGAGATGTCACCGTATACCAGTGAAGGGCTTCAAAGTTTGACCTTTACTCGGCACTTAGGGCTATTAAGCAGTGAGGGATCTTCATCGTGTCAGCACCTACTGTGACACAGGGCCTCAGTTTTTGGTGTAGGGTGGTTTCTCGCCGATTACGTGTTCACGCCGAGTGGTATCGCGCCGAGTGGTTTCGCCCCAAAGGTAAGATATGGGTAGTATACAGAATGGATTAGAGTGGCTTTCCCCGATTACCTGTAATTATAACTCAGGTAGCTTGTAATTAATTAACCCCAAGCGTTAATGTCGAGTTATATCGGATAATCATCCCATTTTGTATTATTAATACTTATAGTGAGGCCATTTTTAGCATTTGATCGTCTAATTTGGAATAATTTAGGACTGGATGTTAAAATATATTTATTTCACAAATCTAGTTGAATTTTCAATGAAGGTTGAGAATTTTCAGATTAAAAAAAAAGCTGACCATGGCAAATGTTTGGGGAAGAATGAAGTTTTTGGAAATACGTGTTAAAAGCGCACGACTTGTCTCTCATCATTATTTTTAGTTAATCTGCTCATCATTAGTGATCAAACGATAATCAAACGACTACCCGATAAGCAGTATCTTCAGTAATACAGTGGCGTGAACCCACGCGGGGCGAATCCACTCGGCGCGAACAAGTGATAGGAGCGAAACCACTCGGCGCGAATACGTAATTGGAGCGAAACCACCCGCATTCCAGTTTTTAAGGTCTCATCCAAAGGACCCGCAGATTTCACTTCAATGAGCTGATTGTGAAGGAATAGTTGCTACCCATTTTTTATCAACTTAGTTCAGTCACGAATGAGATTCGAACTTATGACCTTCCAATCACATAGCAAGTGCTCTACCAATTGAGCTACCATGATGGTCTGCAGCAAGATGCAATTTTGCATGTACAGGAATGTGAATTTAGATTAACTGTGGAAAAAATTCAGTGGAAACAATATGCACAGTTCAAATTTTCTTTTCGTCAAGCCTGAAAATATTGTTTTAACAGCTCACAGTGCAAGTTGAACTTTGTGACACTTGCTACATGTACACTTCCCAATAAATTCCTGTGTAAAATATTTATATGTCCGGGTACCTTGAGGCCATAAATATTTTTCCAACCTAGTTATAGAAATGATATAAAAAGATGAATTGAACAGTAAATGGTCTTTGAATCTTGTAAGATTTACATTTATATTATAGCTATACTTGATAAATTCAAAGAATAATTTCTTTCTAATCTTTTCTGGTTTAACTTAGGAACATGAAGTTGAGAAGATGTTTCCATTGTCAGACAAGGGCCTCCCTCCCAGTAATGTGCAGAATATCATCTTTGTCACCAGGCCCAAGCTCCAGCTTATGGAACAGATTGCTCAGAATTTACTGCAGTAAATTTCATAATTCATACCGTGTTACATAATTATATGTGATAATAAGTAGAAAACTGCTAAGCATAGAGAAAGAGTAATCAATTATACAAATTTTTCATAAGGGTAAAATAAAATTTACATTTACTTTGATACTTTCAATAAACATTGTATTTACATTTTTATATAAAAAAAATTTACACTGTCATATTTGTAGAGAAGAGCACAAAGGGGGATTTAGGAAAGAATATCACATCATATTTGTACCCAGGAAGAGCTTGCTTTGTGAGAAAAAACTGAAGGTAGATGTATAGTTTAAAGATATTATAATGTAAACACAATATATAATTAAAATACAAGAATGTTGGTAAGACGAACATCTTTTAAGCTCACTTGAGCCAAAGGTTAATATGAGTCTTTCTGATTACAATTTATCAATTGTAAATTTAATTGCTAAGTAAAATTGTTTAATCCTAAATGAAAATTGATAGAAAAAATT